TATATATATATATATATATATATATATATATACATACACTGCAGAGTCACGATTATCTGAAAAGGGAAGTACGAATCTTGAAAATTTGTATTAAAGCAGAAATAAGCTTAATTTTAAGAGCATGTTTGAAAACCTTTGATAGGGTACATATTAACTGCCTAATTTGCCCCTAAAGTAAAATATTCCCTACTTAAGTTTTAGTTCATTTACCTTTAAACTAATAAAAACTACACAACTTATATGTATTTGTGGTATAGCAGTCTTTCTGTCCACCTTCTACCGAAGAGGCTCTGGGATCGAATCTCAGCTGGGACGGTTGAATTTTATTTCTAATTTTCTTTTCTAAAAAAGATTTATAACTATTTAATATGTTTTATTCAATATATAAATTAGATTTTTTAATTGAAATTAGTTTTTTATTTTAAACTAAAACAAATAAATTAATAAATATTTTTTATTTTTCTTATTTTAAGTAAAGTAGATGGATAATGTAAAAAATTGCTATTTTAATTTAAATAAATTTTTTAAGATTTTATTTAAAATTTCAAACAAATAATAATTTTAGTTTTTAATTAAAATGTATCACCCAATTATTTTGCACAATACTTAAATGAGCTGTATTTTAAATTTTCCTTTGGTGACAAATAATTATAAAGCACTCATTCTGTTTTCAATCGAAGATGTCTGGAAATTCTAAGAAATTTGTAAAAAGGGGAAAAATGCATTTTCAGTACTATTGTCATGTTTGGGCTGTCCATAACATATTGTATGTAAGTTGTTTATAGTGATGTGGAAAATGAAACTGATCTATACTTCTAATAAAGAGGGCTTAAAATTAATTTTTACCCATCAGTGCAGGACCTCTTGAATCCGATACAGACTACTATAAAATAACTATTAGTGGTCTCCTGGACCAGCAACCAATTGCCATCAATTGAGTCTAATGGGACTGTATACTGATTTTTTTTTTTCATTTTCTATTTGTGCTGTATTTTGTACTGTGTTTTTTCACAAAATAGTATATTTTACAAAATTTTGAATGTTACATGCTCTTTGTACTTTTACATTAAATTTCTCGTTAATATTTTTTATTGTTAATAATTTAACACAAACATTCAATAAAACAATTCTAATTTATATGTAGCTGCCTTTGTACTTTTTAATTAGTTTGAAGAATATAAATATTGTATTTGTTAAATTTATTTTGTTTCAAAACTGTTTAATAGGGAGATGTAGACAGATCTGTGAAATGTGTAGAGGCCAGGGAGCTTTTTTAGCTGCATTATATTTGAAATTTATAAGGGAATTTAGATGATGAAAGGAATTTAATTTGTTGTACATGCATTGTTAATGCTGCTTCTTTATTAGTCTGTAAAAATAAGTTCAAATAAGTTCAAGCAAATTCTTTCCCTGAAATGATATTGTAATATATTTGAAATTTTACCCATCTATGACTTGTCTTATATTTCTTTCTATTAATCTGAAATTAAATGCTATATTTTAAATCAGGTACTGATGATTTTTTTATTTTCTTGTAGCTTTAACAGGGGGGTGGGGTAACAATTACACTACAAGGCATTTAACTAAGTATATGAGCATTTTATAAGCAGGATGAGATTTTTCCTCGTTTTAGCGGATTTCCGCTTTTGTCTCTCGAATTTCAGCCTTTTTATCAAAAACTCTGATTCTCTAAAAGTTTCTTTTTTTCTTTTTCTGAAAATTCAGTCTTTAAAATAGAATAATTATTTCCGAATTTCAAAGATAAACTGAAAATTCAAACTACGTAGCTACCAAACATTTTTGCTTATTTTAGCTATTTTATCCGCTTTTACGCACAGAAAATAAGATTTTCCGTATTTTCCCCCCTGCCCGCCAGATAGCTCGTACTTTTGTAATTCAGACATCGCTGCTTACTGTTTTCTGGCGCAAAAGCAAACGAATTAATAAAAACGTTTTTAAAATCACGATATTATTACCAAACATCGATTTTCGTATTTGCCTGATTTAAAAGTTGCGTATTGCGATTTTTATTTATGCGATTTAAAAATTATGCATCGTGATTCGTATTTATGCGATCTAAAAATTATGCATCATTATTTATTGTAATTTCGTATTTTTGAAATCCAATGTCGAGTTCCATATTCACAAGATTTAAAAGCCACATATCAGGATTCATATTCTCTCAATTTAAAATCTTATTCACACGATTTTAAAATCATGCATGTGATTCATATTAATACAATTTTAAAATTAATCATCGAGATTTCTAATCACATGGGTGAAAAATCACACTTTTTTTGTCAAATTTTTAGATATCATAGCTTCTACATGTTATATATATCCATTCTTGGATTTCCTCTTTTTTACTTTCTGACTACTCTCATCCATGTATAAGAATAAGACCAGCAAGATTATCCATGATTTATAATCCTCCCATGTATTTGTCTTATTTGTATCTTGTGTTGATAAGTATATTGATGTTTAATAATTTTTATTAACATAAATCATTTTTTACAGCCTTAAGATAGAGAAAAAATCAGAAAAGAGTGGAAAAGTCAAAACTACCAATAAAAAAAATTACAGAAATCTAACAGTTGTAAAAGAAGTAGCTTTTAACGATGTGCATTTAGAAACCACTGAATCTAATTCTAAAATACCTTTTGATAGTCTTATAAATGAATCAAGTAAAACTGAAATTAAAATGACATCTGTCGATAAATCTATTAAGTCTCTCAGTTTAAAACGAGGCTCTTGCTTTTATTCAAAAAATCCAGTCGACTCACTTGCAAATAGATCTGAGGGTTTCATACCATTAAATAACACACATGAGTTTTGTCAAAACTATAGCACACAAGGAAACAAATGGAATCATAATAGTAACTCTTGGAATAACAGTAAAAATTATTATGACTATAGTTATGATTATGATTATAGAAGTTATCACCAATATAGAGGTAAAAAGAAGCGATACTTTTATGAACATGATTCGTACAGAAATTGTTTTCCTACATCTAGACAAGACAGTGGTAAAGACTATTGGAAACAAAAATATTCATCAGAATCTGGTTCACACGATATGCAATTTAATAATATACAGCATGAAGTTAATGATCATTATAATTATGATGAAAATAAAGCCAGTTATTCTAATAATCAAAAGGTATATGATAAAGAATTAGACTCGGCCATACATTATGGCAGTGATCCTAATTTCAGTACAAAAAATAAACAAGAAACAGATTTAGAAACTACTGATGAACATTTTTATCCAAATGGACATTCCACTTCAAAAATTTATTCCTACCGAAATTGTTCTCCCAGAGTTGCTTCAGGGTCTGGAAAAGCTCACGGAAAAATCGATAGTCCAAGGCAACTTAGATCATCTAAATTAAGGAAAAATACTGAAGAACAAAATAATTCCAGTACAATAACTATTCTTAATACAAATAATAATGCAGAAATTGAAAGTTCTAATGATACAGATAAACAGCAAGACAAACGGTTGCCTCCTGAAAACATGTCTGATCGAATATCCCACTGGTTAAATCCTCTGAATTCTCGCGATAAAGCTGAAATCGGCAAGTTATTGAATAATTATTCTAAATCAAAGAAAAAGGAAACTCTTTTGAAACTGAAGCATCGTTCTGAAGATAGTAATATTAATAATGAAAACAATGAAAACTTATTTCATAACCTCGTAGAACTAACAGATAGAATCAATACTGCTGAATCTGAAGTGGAACAAAATAGTAGCAACTCCCCCCCAGACCCATCTTATTGTTTGGATGTATCTCCTGAAAGTTTGATAAGTTCTGATAAAATATCCAAAGATTTGTCTCCTAAACCAAAAAGAAGAAAAAAATCGAACCTTTCAGAATCCAGTAGTCATTCTTTAGATGCGAATGTTAGCTCTCGTAGATCTTCTGTTGGTAAAGATACAGACAGCAATAAAAAACGAAGTGCTAGAAAATCTCGTGCTTCAACAGATTCATGTATAAGTTTCCAAAAAACAGCACCTGTTAGGGAATATGAAACACAAGTAGCGGAACAGATGCAAGGAAAACGAAGAAGTTCATTAAGTTTATCCAATAAATCTAAAAAGCATAAATGTTCTGGTTCTGAGTGTGCCATAGAATGTGCGTATGAGACCAGGGGTAATTCGGAAGAGTCTCCTACTGTTAAAGATAATGTAAACAATGTAAGTTTTTTTCTTAAAATCTTCTTCTTTTATGTGCAGTTAGTAGAACACTGGTAATCTTAAATCTTAATGTTTTAAACTTATATTAGCCCATAGAAATTAATTCTAAATGAGAAGTATTTTTGGCAAAACATTTTTTATAGAACTACATAAAATAATTCTATGGTCATTAATGCAGTAGGAAATCAAAATATAGATTTCTTAAAGGTGGGGAGGACCATGTGAAATCTTATGATAAAATGGACTAATGTAATCCAAGGTTATCTAATCCTAAATTTTGTTAATTGGAACTGGCAATTCTCTCAATTGGTTCTTTTAGTGCAGGTTGGGATTTCATCGGGAAGAAACCTATTCTTTCTTGGACGCTAGACAAAATAAAAGAAACTAAAAATAAATTACCAATATAATTGTATAGCAATTTTTTTTAAAATAACGGCAGACACTGAACTTTTGTTTTTCGACTTAGAAGCTGCCGGAAGTGTTGCTCATTTATCGTTACTCAGTGGGCACCTGTGAACCAAAGTCACGGAGACGAGCAACATTACCCACGCCACGCTGCCACAAATACCCGTTCATAGGGTGGGCCACATTCATACATTTACACAGCAGAAGACAACACAGAGAGAGAGAAATATCCATGCCCAGAGCGGGATTCGAACCTGTAGCCATTGGCTTCGCAGTCAGGCACGCTAACCACTCGCCCACTTAATTTAATTAATAACAGAAAGTTAAAAGTTTCTAGAATATTTTAGTTTTATAAAGATTTTAAAATGTATCTATTATATTAATTATTAAAGAATTAGTTTGTGAATTTATACTGAAAAATCAATACTTGAATATAAAAATTAATGTACTATTTGTAGAGTAAATTCAATGTATTTATAGTGTATATGTTTTGTTAATTTAATTTTATTGATGAAATTTGATTAAGATATTTTAACAGTTTTTTATACAATAATAAAAATGTTTTAAAGTACTCAACATAAAATATTGAAAAAACTGCAGTTATTTTAATTTCTTAAGAATTAATTTATTTCTCTCCCCCTATATATATATATTTCCAATTGTTGCTTTTTAATTAAATAACATAACATAGAAAACTGGGATTTTCAACATTCAAGTTATGTTTTTAGAACTGAGAAAATTTTATTTCCATTTTGCTTTATTTTATTAATTTTTATTTTTATCAACGTTTTTATTATGACACAGAATTTTTTAAAAAGCGTTTCTAATAAACATTATATTTTATTGTCACTTTTTCTTAAAATACAGCAAAATGAAAGTCAAATTGAGATTTTTGTATCAATTTTTAATTGTGTTATTTTTTTTCATTTAAAAATTAGGAATTTTTATTTTGGTTTCTGGTTACATGCTTTGTTTTTTTTTAAATAACTTGTTTTTATTATGACGTGGCAATTAAGAGATACTTTTTTTGAAAATATGGTAATTGGAAAACTGATGTTCAGCTTTTAAATTTTCTTCCAAAAATTAGGATCGGTTTTTATTTTTCGATTTTGCTTTTGTATATAATCTTTCGTTATTGTTGGCATTTTATAATAGCACATCATTTTTGGAAATGTTTCTGATAGACTATATTTCTTTTAACGTTTTATTGATATACTGTTTTCTGGAAAATATTATTTTTAGCATTACATTTTTGTTTTAAGATATAAGATGATTTTTTTTATTTCTCTGATTCAACTTAACAACTTAGGCTTTTTTTCTTCTTTTTTTATAGCTGTTGGTCAGTGTTTTATTTATCTTAAATATTTCTTATGATTAACTATTTTAGTTTTTCCCCTTAACCCTATACTAATAGTTTAGCTAAGGTGTGATTATTTTCTAATAATGACTTAACTTATTTTTATGTTAAAAATAATATTTATATAAGATTTTTTTTAAATGTTGCTATTTGGCTGTCAAATATTCGGCTGATTTTTTAGCCAAATTACTATTTGTTAGGTACATCCCTAATTGCTTGCATGTTTCATTGAGAAAATAATTAACTTAAAATAGAGCTAAGCTTATTGATTATACCACATTCCAATAACATAAATTAGGCTTATTAATTGCAATACCACATTTACATAAAGCTAAGCTTTATGTAAAATACTTTAGAATACTATAATTTATCTTTAATCCTGTATTGCATTTCTATTCTTTAATATACTTATTTTATACAAATTGCAGAATGTTTTTAATAATTTTTGATTTTTCTAAACAGGAAATTTATGATGCTGATTTAAGTTTCTTGGTAAAATCAGAAGATAGTCCATTGTCAGGTTAGCACTGTTAATTTTATCTCTTTCTTATTAGTTATTTTTGCAAACAAATTGCTGTTAAACGAAATTTGCAATATTGATGTTAAACAAAATTGGCGATTTTGATGAAGAAATTATTAACTCAATTGTTCCCTATGTTTTCAAGTTACTGGATCTATCAATTTTTTATGCTTTATTTGTGTATTGCTAGAATTGTGTATTTGTGTTTTTCGCTACTCCAAATTTTTCTAACATGACCCTATTTGGGGTCACAATAAGTAAGGAAGTTTTGCATTTGCGTACTAATATGCTTATATATAATAAATAAGTAATTGAATTTTTTTTTATACTTGTTAACTGCAATTATTTATCTAATTTTAAATGTATTATATATTTGTGTTTCTGCAATTTGATTTCTGTTGATTTTAATGCTTATTATAACAAAATTTTTTTAGGTCAAAACCAACCAGAAATCAGTCAGAATGAAGGGCTTAATCTTGGCATGGTTGAAAATGCTAAAATATTAGACGTAGAAGATTTAATGAAAATGTTTGCCCTAGAAAATGTAACCATTAAAAAAGAATTTGATGACCCGCTTATTGAAGCCATAAAAAATGTTGATGTCGATTTCTTGATGAATGTATGCGATCCAACAACTAAAACCACTCACCCATCCTCTTCAGTTAATCCTTCCAATAATCAACCAGATAAATCTGCTGCCAATGTACAATCATCACTAGTAAAATTGACGAGTATATCACAACTTCAAACTGTTACAAACATAAGGGATAAACAAGTCAATACAGTAGTCAGTGAAACACCACCACAAATACAATCAAAGACAAATTTAAGTGACACACAATTAAACAATTCACTACCTCCAGCATCATCATTACAAAAACAATCAACAGCAAATATGTGTGATACGCAAGTAATTAATCCTGAAAATGAGCAACCGTCATCGATTTCTAAAGCAATCGGTGTGAGCCAGAGCAATAAACAGTTTGAAACCTTTGAGACTGCTTTCCCAGGTTTATCACCTTTTACAGTTTATGTAAATATAAGTAATGAGCTGAATAAGTTGCAAAAAGAAGAAGAAGAAAAAAGGAATTGCTTGAAAGAAGTTGAAAAGATGATAGAGGAGCATCAGAAGATTCTGAATGAACTGATGACAAGAAAGTTAAAAGTAATTAGTTTTATTCACATTCTTCATTTAATATGTGTTTGTTTTGATCTTCTCTATTGCTGGGCAGGGATGCAGAAAATTCTCAAAGCCTAATATAATATCAACGCTTAGTGTTTTTTGGTTTAAAATTTTTCCTAAAACTGTGGCACTTTTTTTTTCAGTTACAATAATTTTTTCAAAATACTTTTGTAAAGTGCATATATTGTTAAAATTTTTTGATGAAACTTTTTTTGTTTTACACAGAAATAACTATCATATGTGTTAAAAATGGCACAATTGAAAATTTATTGAAATAGTAATAATTTATAAAATTTAATTTAAGGTCCTACTCATGATTTTAAAGAATTCTAACTAATAAATAAACTAATGAATAAACAAGTTAACACACANTTATAAAGTGATAAAATTTTTGAAAATAGGTTGCCCCAGGGCAGATATGCATAATGTAAGACAACGCGTGAACTTAGTTCGTGGAATTTTTTTTTTTTAGTATGCTAATAAAGAAGAAGAAAAAAACGGTCAAAGTTTCCTACAGTCAGTATTATTTTGTACTATTATAGATTGTAAAATGAGTAATATACAAGAAAGCATGATTATTTTAGTTTTAAAAAATTTGAAAAGTGTTTTTTTTTTTAAAAATATTTATCAAATGCTAGCATAGAAAATTTTTTCTGAGTGACTTAGAATTCAGACATGCAAAATAAGATAACTTAATAACTGGGTTTGATTTCTTCAAAAAACTGCTGAAGTTAAGGAAATAAATGCTGGTATACATAATTATCAATATAGAGCTTTATTGCACTTTTAAAACAATCTGTAATTTGCTAACAAATTTCATCAGAATTAGGTAGCGACTGAAAAGTAAAAATTAATTACAAGCGTCAATAAGTTTCTTGCAGAAAGTCTTTTAATTGAGATCATGTTAGTAGAAAGTTTTTAATCTTATCTACGTCTACTCCAGTGCAACTTGATTTTCTCTTGGATATATTCTGCACCACTGCAGGGAGGTTAACTTCTTTCAGGTAAACACCACTTCCTCAAATCTGAGGTACACCAAAAGTTTTTTCGTTTCTCACTCTTTTACTAAATTTAGTTTACAACAATGTTTGAATTATATTAGGTATAATGTTTGGTACAGTATAATCTCATCCAGCTCTTATTTCATTAAACTCTACTTTCATCTATTTATCTGAATATTTCTGTTGAAACCCTTCATTAAAACAATTTTTAAAATCCATTTTTAATTTTATTGTTTGTTTATTAGTTTTAAAAGTATTTTTATATTTGTGTCATTTTCAGTTGCAAATCGAAGAAGATAATCTCATAGATCGAAGAAAAACTCTGACTTGTGCTTTGTCTCAATGTGTAATTAGTGACTCCTGTGAGTATAATTGCTGTTTTAGAATTAAATTTTTAGAAATTTTCTCCCTGACATAAATTTTAACCTGATTTTACTTATGTTTAAAATTTTAATTTGTGAATGTTTAGAATTTTCTTGGCACAAATACACTAATTTTAAAAATGTCAGAGATTTAAGAACTGCGTTTTTTGTTACGTTAAATTCTGATTTGCAATTATGTTTAGCTGTTAATTTTTTTTAAAATTTAAGTTAGCTTTATAACTTAAACTTCCTTAAATTTCATCTATATCTGATTAAGTTATAAGATTCATTTTCTTTTATTAAACATAACTCTTTTTAAATGTTGCATGAAATAATTTAAATTTGACAAACTTGTGCTTTTCTTGTATATCTTCTAGAAAATTACACTATTTTAAATTTACTTTTAAATATTTTGGTTTTGCTAATTCTTTTATAACAGCTGGATTTTTTTTATAAGGTTTCTTATTGCTCTTTTCTATGTTATCATTTTTATGGCTGCTGTATATACCATTACATGGAAAAAAATTCTTAGAAGAATGTTGAAATTTCAAATTGAAAAGTCATACTAGTTCAGAATAAGCAATAAATGAAACAAGTAAAACAAATTTAGTCTTCATTTTATAGCTTTGTGACTGGTTTGAAATGTTATATATATATGTATTTTTTGCATTCAAAATAATTATAAACATTGAAAGAGTTATAATAATATTTTGATTAATTTAAATATATTAAATCTAAAATATTTTCTTGTTATTCAGTTAAATTCTATGATTTGTTTAAAATCAAAATCATGAAGAACAAAAACAAGAGATTGATTAATTTTTCAACTTAATGTCAATTATTCAACTAAATGCATCGTAATCTCTGATTATGATATTCACCGTAATTTCTTGCCTATAATGTGCGTATTATCTTTCAAAACAATGTGAAAAATCGTCATTGCAGGTAATCTGGCACTGCGGATAATATCTCAAAACTATTTCCCCTCCCTTAGCCATAGTAAATTTCATAGCAACTTCCGTCAACCATAAAAGATGAAGGGAATATTCACACTGGATGCAAAAACTTTGCATACACTAATTCAGAGATGAGAACCTTATTGGTTATATAAAATTACCGGTGAGAAACTCACCAATCTGGTTTTTGTTCGCATTTCCAAATTCGCATGTGCGATTTTTTTCACATCTAGAGTGAAGGCTCTTAAACATTATCTCGTGCATGCTCTTTCCTTTCCTAACCGATGCCCGTTAATTCATATGTGATATAGATTCTCCTGATGGGAGTTTAAGCGTGAGATTGCTAATTCAATCAAATTATCCCTACTTAGTATAAAATATTCCCATCTTCAGGGATGAGATTTTTCCGCTTTTTAGCGGATTTCAGGCTTTTTCGCTTTTGTCACTCGAATTTCAGCCTTTTTATCAAAAACTCAGATTCTCTAACAGTTTTTTTTAATAAATATTCCGCCTTTTCTGAAAATTCAGATGTGAAATGAAATAATGATATTTAATTTCGATTTGATATATAGATATAATTCATCGAAAGATATATAGAAAATTCTAACTACGTAGCTGCCAACCCTTCCGCATATCTACTTATTTTAGCTATTAGCTTTTACGAGCAGAAAATAAGATTTTCCTCATTTTTACCCGTCCACTTGATAGCTCATATTTTCGTAATCAGGACGTCGCTGCATTTTAATATCAAACATCGATTTTGGTATTTACCTGATTTAAAAGTTGAGCGTTGCGATTCCTATTCTCGCGATTTCAGTATCGTTCATTGCAATTCTTATTTACGAGATTTAAAAATCCAATATCGCGATTTGTATACAGGCTTTTTTAAAATTCTATGTAACGATTCATATTCACGCCAGTTTATCTGATGTCGTGATTCGTTTTTGCAGTTATAATATCCAACATCTATTTTCGTGTGATTTAAAAATTACCCTTTTACATGTGATTTAAAAATGAGGCTTATTCATGTCATTTAGAAAATATGCATCGTAATTCGTATTTATGCAATCTGAAAGTTACGCATCATGATCTGTATTTTCAAATTTTTGAAATCCAATGTCGAGTTTCATTCACGTCATTTCAATATCGTGATTTATATTCATGCAATTTTAAAATCCTTTATCACGATTCTTGTGAAAAGTAAGTTTTTTTCTTGAATTAGTTATACAGTAGGGAACCGATTATCCGGAACGATCGGTGCCATCGCTATTCCGGATAACTGATTTTTCCGGTTTTCTGAATCCCTACAAAAAGCCGTTTTTTTTTTATTGTTAAACCCAACTAAAACAAAATATTTGGAAATAATCTTGAAAAAACGAAGTAATACACTAATGATTATTTCCAAAATGATGGTAGGGTATACATCTTTCAAAAAAGAAACAAAAATCCTAAAATTTTATGAGGAAAAAAACATTTTTTAAAAACAAAAATGGCGGGAAAATTTATTGAATTTCGTTCCGGTTTATTGGTTTTCAGGTTTACTGATTTCCAGATAACGAGTTCTGTACTGTACTATAAATGTGGCAGCTTTTCTATCGGCGATTATTGCTATATATATATATATCTATGCATCACAACATCGGCGAAACTGGATGAGAATATGTTACTGATATTTTTGCTATAAATCACGTGATAATTACTCGATCGAAAATTCAGCTTTTTTGCCTTTTGGCCAATCTCACCCCTGCATCTTTTTATCAACATTTCTTCGAAAACACATTTATTTTTTAGCAATCTTAATTTTAAATAAATATCCTGCCCAATGAGAAAAAATTAAAAGTTTGAAAAGGTTTTCTATTTTATTTTACTCTGCTCCATATTTTGAGCTATGAAACCACAAAAAGGCTTTGCGAAGAAACAAATTTTCTGTGGTAAAACCCATGTAAGATAGTGGATACATTTATCTTATTAAACATTAATTAATTTAGGATCTGGTTAATATTATTTTACATTATTATTAATATTATATTTTCTGTACTTTAATGGTAATTTGTTTATTATTATTTGTTATCATATGTGGAATCTGTGGCTTAAAACTCTAATAGTGACAAGGAATTGTCTTATAAGAAAGCTGCAATATCTGAAGTTAATGTGTTACAAACAAAATAATGCTGACTTCAGTGATTGTTTTTGTTGCTGGCTTCCTATATTGAAATCCCAGATATGACTAGTATATGTTATTCCTTCCGAACATAAAATATTCTAAATTGTAAATTGATCATGGGTTAGAATCCAATTGTTACCAAATTAACTAAGGAAGGTTTTGGCAGTAATATTAAACTAAAATATTAATTTTGAGGCAAATGATATTTTAAATTAATATTACAAATTCTATTTCTGTCATTACTAAAAACATATTCAAATTAAAATCAAAATTTTCTGCCCTACTGAGGTTTAATTCAAACTAATATTAGTGGTGTAGCTCAAAAGATTAAGATTGCCAACTAGAGAGTGAGGAATGATTCAGCTTAATTGGTAAAAAAAATTTAACAAATTATTTACGGGTGATTTTAGTGGGATGCAATTTTCCTTTTCTAATCTTAAATGTTCAGTCTTAGGACTTTTGTGTGGTTTGTCTATTTCTTAACCCCTTCAGGACCAAAGGATGGAGGAAAGTGAGCTTCCCCAGCCATGCGAAATCCGAGTTTAATACAAGACATAATATGAAAATACTATAGTGAGATCATGCCCGTATGATCTCGTCAAGCTAGAGTCAGAAAGGTTGGTTTCATGTATGATATTGTGGGCTATGAAGAGAGAATTGCATGCGCACAAATGAGTTATAATGGCACAGTTCTGAAGGGGTTAATGCAAGAAAAGCAAAATTTAATATTTGGTTACATTTTTTGTTTTAAAAATTTATCAGTAGTGCACTGAACAATGTATTTGTGAAATATTTAGTTATTTTTATATATCTTTTGAATCTAGTATTTTTAAGGAATAAAATAATGTAATCAGGGGTCTGTCTAAGTTTTTCTGAGAGGTACCTATTTTGTGAAAATTTAGACATAATTTGTGAAAATTAAAAATTATATTAAAAATAGGGTAAAAATATGGATTTATCGTTTCTTATGGGTTACAAAAATGAAATTTTAGGAAAAAGTATTTTGTGAAACTACCGTTTTTCCTAAAGTTGAATTTGAAAAGGTACCGCTAAACGGTAGTAAATCTGGCTTGGGCAGACCCCTGGTAAAGGACTTCAAACTCAATGATTCCCAATCTTGGTGCTTCCACCTTGTAGTGGTGATTGGGCTTGTGTGCACTGTTGATCCCCTGAGCTATGCCGGCGGTAGCTTAGCTACTGGCAGGGTCTCCCATGCCGGACAGGTCAGTGGGGGAGGTGCCAGACAAAGAGTGGCACCCTGGTCCTCCAGGTTGGGGGTTGAGCATAGGGCAAACAGCTCTATCTCATGAAGAAAAAATTTTATTCTGAAAATCTATCTCATAAATGCCCTGTGATAATGTGTGCTACTGCTGAATAATTAGTAACAGTAAAAGGAAATGAAAGTAGTGAAAAAAGTGATAAAGGAAATATGTCTGTTCACTAACTGGGAGAAGTCTTGACAAAAGCCTTATGCTCTCAATATAATGAAGAGATGTAAGTATTTTGTAAACATTGTGCATTGTTATATTATTATTCACCAAATTGCTTATTAAAATGCTTTCACAATGTTCATCTTAAGTATGTACATATTTTTAAGATTTCAAAGTTAGTGCTCACCCAATAATTATATCGATTCCTAAATAAACTTCAGTCAATCTTTCTATTGAAAACAAATAACTGATCATGATCTATCTTTTAAACTGCAATAATTTTTTCAAGTTTTATTTTTAATTATTTTAATCTTTATGTGTTGAGTAGTAATTCCTACATGCGCCATGTTCAAATAAATTACTATGTTTAGAAATCATGTATTCAAAAAATATGTATATATGCCAGAGATATATCTTCATACTAAATATAAATGTATGTTATATAATTTTGAACATATTTATGAAAACCATAATTTGTAATGTGTTGGATGTTCCTCGTGTGGTGTAGAATTTTGTACTTTTAATAACTTGTTAAAGCTGTTTTGAACAAACAAATATTTATCAAAAGAAAGGAAATAACCTGAAATTTATTGAGTATTCCACATTATTTTTGTTTTTCATCCTTAAAAATGGTTTTCTTCAATTAAATCTAAGATGTGAATAAAAAAATAACAATACATTGTTTATACATAGTATCAGGTATGTAAATTAGTAATAAGACTGGCAACATAGCATTCGATACAGCTACTGTGCACATACCAAACTTTCAAATGTGTTAAGTAAATCTAATGTATACACATTCAATACCTGTATGTATGTAGTATATATATATATATTATACAAATATGCTCACAGTCGAGCCTCGATCAATCATTTCTCATTCTCAAGGGACCATTTATTACAAACAATAGATATGGGAAAACTATGAGTGTGGGTTGACTTTATACATTCAATAATGACCAGTAAATGTATAAAAGTTAATGAATTTACAACAAGTATAAAAAATTTTAATTGAAAAATTAAAGGAACCATTCATTACGAACGATAGATACAGGAAAACGATAAATCTGGGTCAACTTTTTACATCCAATAATGACCAGTAAATGTATGAAAATTAATGAATTTACAACGAGTATAAAAAATTTTAATTGAAAAATTAAAGGAACCATTCATTACGAACGATAGATAAAGGAAAACGATAAATCCGGGTCTACTTTTTATATCCAATAATGACCAGAAAATATCTAAAAATTAATGAATAAGTATAAAATATTTTAGTGGAAAAATTTAAGTTTTTCCTGCTTAAATATTTAAGATTCAAAGGAAGGAAAAATGAGGAACAAGGAGAAGGAATTTGGAAAAATTAAAAAATTTATTTATTTAGAATATTTGGAAATTTGTTCTCGTTCTTATCAGTGCGAATAATAAATTTCCGACATTTTTTATAGATAGCTGTTAATTTTCTGAAAGTTTGTATAAAAACAAAAAGTTCCTCTTTGTACAAGGCCTTTTGCAAATGTTTGCTCGAATTGATTTTCTTAAGTTCAGTTTTATAAACGGTATCACTATACCCTTCTTCAGCTTCTACAACCATTTCTTAATCGGCATTAACATCAAACTTGTTGTTTGAGACGTTTTACCTAGACTGTAACAAATGTATATTTTATTTATCATTACCATCGGGAGTTACTGTTTTTTTTCACAAAATAAATTAACTTCAATATTTTTTTCAAATATCTGTAGAATTTCTGAATGATAAATGCCGATCTAGATGGAAAATATACTATTGAAAACAATAATTTACTAACAGTGAGCTGTATAAAAATTCACATTTTCCTCCAGTTTTTGAATTTTTGAAGTCGCAGTAACATTGTATTAAAATATCAGTGTTCTAATCACCATATAGAAAAACATCTTGCTAAGTGATGAAAATATAACTTATATTTATGATGAAATATGCACAAATAAATTGTATCAAAAATTGATTATTTATGTGCGTGATTAAGAACTTGAGTATTGTAATTACATTGTAGTTTAGGTAACAGGATCGTCAAGATAGCATGGAAAACCATTGCAAAAAATGGAATTATTATACATAATGAAATTAGCATGACAAAAGCTTGTCAATAAGTAATTATTTAAATTTCGTGATTTAAAACTAGCATGCATAATGAAAATTGGAATTTTTAAAACTATGTGGGAATGCATTCCAAAAACTGACAAAAAATGGCTGAAAAATAATTTGGATTTATTATGAACTATGCAAAAATAGTGCATGTTAAAATGTTATTGTTTAAATGTGCGATTGGAAACTCTTGTGTCTTAATATTGTAGTAAAAATATGGGATTTTAAAAATCATGTAGAAAAGCGTAGTAATCATATTGGGTAATTTTGGAAACCACATGAAAATTATTAGTTATAAATGCCTATGAGAATTATTGATACATCGCTTGGATTTATAATGAAATCGGCAAAAATGACGCGAGTCAAACAAATGATTAGTTCAATTCAAACTCCGCTTTTGGTAATATCGTTTTAAATATATTGTGTTTTTTAAAACCACCTGGAATTTGGTAGCCATACCCATTAAACAGTGATTGAGGGATACAGATTTATAATAGTATTTGTTCGAAGTGAGTACATCAAGAAGTGATCACTCAAATGTGCCATTCAAAATCTTTGATTTTTTAATTTATTTTTAAGCATTAACAGTCGGCGGGTTTTTGTGAAATAAAAAAAATTTAAATGTTGTAATGCTATGCCAATAAATATTTGTTGTTAATTTGCTATAACCTTTTTAAAATAATCGAAGTCACTATCAAAATTCTACTATTCAAAAGTTCTTTTTAATACAATTACTATACAAATATTAATTAATTTTTTAATTATGGAATCCATTTATATATCATAAGTGTATGATACTTTAAACTAAACTCATTAAATTGACTTTTTATATTAGATGCTGTTACTATAGATAAAAATCAAACTTCACAACGGCCGATTGAAGATGTAAAAGAAGAAATACGTACAATAGATACGTCCACATTACTGAAAGTGGTGAACCAATTGCCAGAAATTGCTGATGTTGAGACTTTGTATAGTTCTGCAACTACTTTTGCAACTCCTGTTTCAAATACGAGCCTAACTAACTCAACTTTACCTTCTGAAAACCTGGAGTTACAAAAAGAAAAAACTTGTAAAAGTCCGAAGCAGTGTGCACCAGAAGATAGTGAAGATATTATAATCATTCCTGCAGAAAAGAAGGTTGTCCCAGTTATAGATCTTGTTGATTCGGAGTCTCCCACTAAAAAGTTTGTTGCTGGTTTTCTTTTATTTATAGTTTAATTTTCAATCAATTTAAATATTATTCTATTTTTTTATATATATAAGTAAGAAGAATAATCTTAGTAAATTTTTATTGTATTGCTGGTAATATTAAATGCTGACTGAATTAAATAAGTTTGTGTGCATTGTTTTCATTTTTAAATTTATATATTTTAGTTTATTTTCATTTGAAATGAAGAATCAAAATTCTTAACTGGGTTTTATTTGTTCTTATTATATGAGAATATGTATAATCATGTATGTCTCAACATCCTATTTTTTTATCAATTGGTGCAGTTATGACTGAAGTATAAACTGACTAAACAAAATATTAGTCAATGCTCACTAATTTTTCCCTTACCTGTCCAAACTAATCTGTACTCTGGTGAATAAATCGGGTTGAGAAACACTTTTTTAAACCATGTCATTCCAGTTCTAGACTTGATAACTAATTAGATTTGGTCAAGATGTGAATCCACAAAGTTTTGTGAGTATCGTCATATCAAATTTTTAGCTACTCTCGCAGGATTTAATCATGCAATTTCCCATAATTGTAGGAATTTTTCTGAAATTTTGATGTTTTACAGTCTATTCCAAAATGTTCCATATTTTTAGGAAGTTCAAGTCATATTAATTTTAAAGATACTAACTGATAGCAACACCGAATCATCCAAAATGTTAAAATAAGCACGCTGATGATACATGAGTGGTCATCTCAGTATGTCAGCCTAATTCAGGACCAGAAAACACCCTTAAACTATAGACATACCTCCGGTGTGATAAAACTTTTTATAATTTCTCTTGGGGGTGACTATTTTTTTTATCCTGTGAGCTTTTATTCTAGTGATAAATTATTTAACTATCTTTCAAAATTAGTAGATAATATAAATGATTCATGAAGTATAGCATAATATGCCAGTCATCATATGCTATATGATATATCATGAGGGCCATTTTTTAAAGTGAGAACCAATTGCGCATTGTGTCTATATATCTTGTCCGTTCATGGTCATCAACTGTGGCAAGTCTTTCACTCCACCACTTTAAGCTTCAGGTCTCTGCTGGTGTTGGTTATATGGTTATACTGCTTTGTTGTCACCATGTAAATGAGTAATCCTGCTAATTATAAAATGCGTTCAATGATTCAATTTTTAAATACAAAAAAAGTTAGTCTTGTTGAAGTTTATGGGGAAGGTGTAATGAATAATGGAAATGTGCGTAAATGTCATAGGCTTTTTAATGAAGAAAGAACGGATGTTCTTGACAAAGAACGATTTGAATAGCCTATTGTCGTGATGGGATACAAAAGCTGGTGCCCTGACTTGACTAATATTTCAGTGTTAATGGTGACCATGTTGAAAAGTGAATAAATGTTCATATTTTAGTTTGTTATACAATTTACATTCATAAATAAAGTTTTGTTTACTTAATTACAAAATGGTTCTTATTTAAAATATGACCCTTGTCGTTAAATTTTTTTTTTATGTTTCAAATTTTTTTTACAAAACTTATTATTATTTTATGATTTACCAAAATTAAATAATTATTAAAATGTTTCCTTTGATGTATTTTTTAAACTTTATTTTTAATTTTAATTCTTTGTTATATGCGTAAATTAAATACTTTTGTACTAATTATTCATTATTCTTTTTTTACAGCAAAGATATGAACGAGCCTAATCTAGGTTAGTAAAATGCTAACAAGAATTTTATAACATTCAACTGTAAAAATTTAGTATATTGTTTAGTAAAATTAAATTTGTAAATTTAAAGATTGTTGTATTAATTTATCAACTGAACGAAATGTTGTTTTGTCTTATTTTAGCTCAAAACTTCTCTGAACTTATTGTACATAAAACAGTTGTGAATTCCATAAAGGTAATGCTTTTTGGTTTATTGTTTGATTCTTGAACTTAATAGGTTTTGCTAATACAAATTTTAATTTGTCAAATTAAATATGTTTTTTAAATCAAGATTAAGTGCTATTGTTTAGGAAATCACTGCTTGTTTCTATTGTTTTGTGAATTAAATCTAAGTAATTGAAGCAATGTTATGAACCAAGGCGTGGCAAGAAATTTTCTTTTTGGAGTGTTATTCAAAATTTCTAGTGTGTATATTATATATTTGAAAAATATCTAAAGTTTATCGACACCACTTTGCTGATTACTACATGATTACTTTGCTGATGACACTAATTGTATATTTTAATACAGTTATTGCATTAGTTATGTAATCCAACTTTTCTGCACCTTATCTTTAATTAACCAATTTTTTAAAACTTTCTGTGATTTTCAACTTGATCTTCCATTTTGAAATCTATTGGTTCAGTCAAAAAACTTTTAAAGTGTAACAAATTTGTTCCCATCTGTAAATATTTTCATGATAAATGCTTTGTTACTTAAAACATTATGGCAAAGAGATACTATAAAGTGTACTTATTTCTTAATTCTCAAGAGCTGGTATTACTATAATTTTTATTTTTCATTTTAAGTAGCAATCCAATTTGGGAGACGATTTTATTACACTTTCATTTTAATGTTAGGAAATGTTTTAATACTGTTATGAAAGTATTAGAACATTCAGGGTATTATTCATCACAGTATTCTACTATGTTACATATACAAACAATAATGATAGAAAACTATAGAAATTTATTTTACTTAAAATTACCCACTGGAATTTCCAATATTTTTTAACTCAACAAAGATTCTTTCTATGATATTTTAAAAATAATTTATTATTATTCATAAACCTGGAAGTCTGAGTGTTTTCACAATGTCACTTAAATTATTCATTTGCTAGACCCTTCAAATGCATGGAAGAATTGTATTGTAAGAAAACTCTAGAATGTACCATATGTAATAATACAAGGGATTTAATTTAATAATTAATTTTTCTTTATTTAGTTTCTTTGGTTTTCACAGGTATTTTTCATTTTTTCAGCATAAGGAGATTGTAGTTTTGATTTTAATATTTAAGGTGGCTGCACAATAGGGAGAACTGGGAATTTTATCAGTTGGAGATTGGATCTTTCAATTATCAAAAATCAGTGAATGTAATAAAAATGCCATTATATAAAAAAAAGAATTATTTTTTTTTACTTAATGGCATACATAAAGAAAGTATCTAAAATACCAATATTTTTTTCAAAAAAAAAATTGCTTTTGCAATAATAGTTTTTAAATTATTAATTTTCAACTTTAATGTGTATAATATGAGTGTTTTGTAACGTATGATGAAACTGAAAAATTAATTATAAAATATGTAGGCCACTGGTTATAAAAAGTGAGGAAATTTTTCAAAGTCATAGAAAAGTTGGAATTTTTTTTGAAGTGTCTGTGGCCAATACTTTTACCATATATTACCATTATTAATTATAAACGTTTTTGTGCTCTTGATCTAATTGTGTATGGTATTATGCATTAATCAATTATTTCACTTCTTTTATACATATTGCATTTTACTGTTAATTTAAAAACAAACTTATTTTTCATAGCTGACGGTATAAGAATTTCTTTTACAATAAAATGTTTTATTTTTGTAGGTTCATGATGGTTATTTGTATTCTTGTTCAAATGATTATACAGCCAAAAGATTTAACCTGAAGGTAATCATTGAAATTTTTGAATGATAAATTTAATGTTAAGACAACGGTATAATTTTTGCTATAAAATTACAGTATAATCCCATCTTCTATGAGTTTTAATGTATATATTAGACTCTCAACAAGATATGGTTAGAAATGGCTCTAACTACTATCAACTATTATATATTCTTTTTTGAAATAGTAGTGTAAAATGGGGTCAAAATGGCAAAAACTAAACATACTTACGAGCTTTATTTTTCAATACAGTATATTTAGCAATGTAGAAAAATCAAAAATGGTTATTACCAAAATCAAAAATGGCTTTAAGTATTATACTTCGTTATTAAAATAATTTTTTAATTACATTTTTGTGTTTTTAGATTTTTAATTTTTTATAACTGTTTTTGTATTTATTTTTATTAGGATTCGAAAGATACTGTCTTTTATCTGCATTCAAAGAGAAATGTCCTCCAATTGTGTATTGAAACATTTAGTGACTCTACTATTGTTTTTACCCTTTGCTCAATGGACACTCGTCTATCCTCATTTAAAGCCAAGGTAATGCTTACTGCTGGTGTTTGGTTAATAATGCATAATATTAACATTCATATTCAGAGAGTGTGTTGAAGCAAATATCTTGTAACTAATTAGAATTCACCTATGTACTTGAGCTTATTTTATGTGTTTATGTTTATTTAATCATTATTTTAATTTTCAATTGTAGTTTCAAATTTGAAAGGTATGACATTATTTTGATTTAGGTATCTAAGAACTGTATGGTTCTGTTTTCAAAACAATCTCAATTTATTATAATATTTTTTTAATAATTTTGTAGTATGGCAATTTAAACATGTGCAGTAGAGTCCCGATTATCCAAGTTTCCGCTTTAACCCAACTATAAAATATATCAACGATTTTTTTCTTGTTCTCGTTTATATTTTATTTTTAAAACAACCACTGAAAAAAGTTCTGAATTTTATCTTCCAAACACTCAGAAAAACAAGCTGACATACAACACGTGATCACTGATGAAATTATCTTTAATATCGTCAGTAATGAAAATGAATCTAGCAAAGATAATTAAGACAGTGATGAGGAAAATAAACATTTAAAAATTTCTCATACAAATAAATTTCAAGGTATTGAAAATGTTATTGAATATATAGAATAGGGGTGGCCAAGCTCCTACATTGTCGAGTCATTTTTCAAAATTTAAAATTTTTCGCGAGCGCAATTAAATACATATTTAAAGGTATGCAAAAAAGGTATTAAATTTTTTTTTACATAAATTATATTTATTGAAAATATGCGTATTGAATTTAAAATTAAACACATTTATTTTACTTCTCTTGATAATTCTTTAAAATTTAGTGAATAATTGGTGACAGCACTTCTCAGCAATTCTTTGAGATGCTTGTTAGTTAATACTGATCGGTGTTTGGATTTTACTAATTTTAAAGAGGAATAAAATTATTCAAATGAGTACGTTGCTCCAAATATTGAAATCATTCGACAAGCAGCCCTTTTTAATACAGGATACTTCGAATCTGGTACAAATTTCCAAAATTTAGTAATCAACGTCGAATTATATTTTAATTGTTATGCTTGACCTTTTTGCACCTGAATTAGCTCTAATTCTCCCGATGCTCTTTTTGTGTCATAATTATATTGGAAATGGAAAACTCACCTTAAATTGATCAGCGTTGAACTTTCATATTAGTTCTCAGTAATTTAAAAAACATTTTGAAACACATACGGAACGATAATAATTTTTTAAAATCTAATAGCACAAAAAGGAAAAGAGAACTCGGGTACATTTATCGAGAGCCGCATGTGGCTTGTGATCCGCAGGTTGGGCGTCCCTGATATAGAGCAACAAAAAGAGGTGACACCAGCCTTCCTGTTATCTCTAAAAAAATGGCAAAACATTGCTGCAGAAAAGTGCCTAAGTAATGTAAAAGTAAAATCCATTAAGGACTTTTTTAAGTAAAAGCTCTTTAATTCTCGTAAAGTATGCTCTTTAAGTGTTTTTAAGTAAGATTTTTAATTGTAATATGAATTGTATGTGGTGAACTTGTATAAATTTTGTATTTCTTAAATACATGAGATTTATACCTACTCTTTTTCTTTCCTTTTTTATACTCTTCGCTTTAACCGAGTCTTTCGGTTACCCGAAATAAATCCACATTATCTTAGATAATCGGGACTCTACTGTATTCTCAAAAGGAAAATAAATGTTGCATTTATTAATTATAAAAATTTCTTTCTTTTAGGATGGTGTTCTTTTAAAAACCTACTCTTTAGAAGGTATTTGTGCAGGTATTTCTAATGGATGGGGAAAAGTATATGCTGGCCTTAAAAGTGGTTTAATTGTGACCTGTAACCGAAAAGTAATTATATTTTCCCTTAGAACTATTCCTATATTAAGAAAGAATTGATTAAGAACTAAATATTATAAAAAAGAGAATAAACAGTTATTCGATTATTTATTTATTTCAGATCTGCCTCTTTTAATTAATTTTTGTAACATAATTATGAATAATTTTTTTCCTCTCTACAGGATTCAAAAGACCTTGTAAGAAATTTAGAACCCGTGAAAAGTCTAGCCTGCACTATGCAAGGAGGTTTACGTGTTATTATAATTTTATCTGTGAGTGGTCAAGTTGCTGTAAGAGATGTTGAGAGAAATGGGTTATTAATAAGATACATCAAAGCTCACAATGACACACCTCTCTTCATGAATGTTTATAATGATTATGTGTATCTAAGTAGTTCAGTTCTTCTCACAGCAACTAACCTCTCTGTAAGTTTCATTTTTTATTAACTGAAATACTTTAAAATGTTTACTAAAACCAATTTTACTTTTATTTAAATTGAGTATGTTTTTATCACAATTACTGTACCTACCTGAAAAATATTGATACATATTTTTGCTTTTGAAAGAAAAGGTAAAAGTAACAGCAAAATATTGTGTGCTTTTGCTTTCTTATTAAAATAGTTTTATGGATTTTATTTTTATATTTATTTACCAAACCACTAATGTTTAAAAAAAAAACGCTTTCTCAGTTTAAATTCTATAGCATTCCTATAAAATTATTTTAAAAACTAAGATATAAAATACTGCCGTACTATGTTATTGAAGTTTGTGTTTAAATTATAACTTTCCCAATTAGAGCCATGCTATTACTGTTTCTATATTTTTACACAAATAAAAAATTAGATATTTACCAAAAGTTTGCAAGAAATTTTTTTTAATGCTTGCATTATAGTTTATTAAACAAGTTAAAAGTTATTCGCATGAATATTTTAATCCTAAAAGTAATGAAAGAAAACTCTCTACCTTAAAAATTTCTACATTGTTGTTGCTAAATTTGTTTGTGAAAAAATATCACTTCACAATTTGTTTTAGAAAATGAGACTACTTATAAAAGTGTATAATTTGTGATTTCTAGTTGTTACTGAAGCAATTAGGTAAATGTTTTGAGAAGTATGTCTATATGGATGCGAGAATACTTAATATTTTTATATTTATTTCTTATTTCGAGGTTTGTCAATTCTTGAGAATGACAAACCGTGGTTGTTATAGAGTTACCAAGATCACTTCTTTGAAAGCTATTTTTTCTTCATGAAGCTGCAATTTTCTTGAATACTTGTTATTACTTGTGAGCTGACTCCTTATTTAGGCAGAAAATATTTTAAGCTTATTTTGACTTGGTAATTATTAAAAACAACATTATGTTTTCCATTTATTGCTAAGAGAATTCCATACTTGATTAGGCAAAATATAAATTGTTCGTTTTTTTTTTATGCATCTTTAGCACCTTTTTTTAAAGCTTAAACTCTCTGCTTTATTCTATGCTGTAAATATCAGTCTTTTATGTTTGCTTTTCCTTTTTGTTCCTGTTAGTGTTTAATTGCCTTTTGGGGCAGAAGGACATGATTTGTTCCCTAATTATCATTCGTACTCAATAAAGTTCCTACTACTTTAAGCTGAAATAGGTTAAAAAGAAGCAATCACTATAAAGATATTTTGAGTAATTAATATTTATTTATTTTGGAAAAAGTTCATAAATTTCTATTGCTGCAAAAGTGTTATATTTATTTTTTAATCAAATCTAATAATGATCAAAAGTCATATGTTTGTTTATAAAATTATAATTTTTATGGCATACTGAGTTAAAAAAAACAAAAAACAAGAATGACAATGTCTTTTTGAATTTTATTCAATATCAATGTAATTAATCTCTTCTTTAGACAGGAACTGTTGAAAATAAAATAAAGTTGACTTCTCCAATTACTGGTTTAGCTGCATTTGAAACTAACATTTTCACTACTGCCTTTACTGGTATTGTCAGGTGTTATCATGAAGGAAGGGTTTGTATTAGCTTTTCTTTGTTTAATAAATATTTACTTTTATTCTGTATTAGGGTTTGCTCAGTTTAAACTAATGTGGTTTAAGGCACAGTTTAAACCAAAGATTTTATTTCTTTAAAGAAACAGTACTGTTTTTTTTTAAAGAAAAATTCTTTTAAATTAATTAATTTTCATGATTTAAATCAATACTTTTAATTATATATAACTAAATGAAAAAAATAGTAAGTTGGAGTTGAGGTTCAAAAGTATAGTATGTTTATTAACAAAACCAATTTTTTAACAGTGTCAAAAAATGATGTTATCTAACTACATCTATTCCTTCACAAAACTAAAAAAAATAAAAGGAACACTTGTAAAACTTTTGATCTAATGATTTTATTTTCATGTACTAAGATGAAATTTTAATAGTTTGAAGAAAGTTAGAATTTAGATATATTTATTTAATTTTTTGCACATAATATTAAGTCATGAAATCTGAGACTTTCTTTGATTAAGCATACTTTTTTCAATTAATTCAGAAATTCAGATTCCACTCTGAAAATTATGGTCCTAATAATTCAGCCAGGATATTGGTTAAAAGTTTGAGCCTTCTTAATGTCACTTTCACTTTTTACATATTTTTGTACATCTCTGTAATTAAAAAGTCATATATGTGTGTTTTCTTCAAAACATTATAACAGATTTTTTCAATTTTGTCATTTAAAATTTGTTTCTCTTCCAATTAATAGGTTTTTGACCATTATCTTTTTAAATAATAATTTAATTAAATAATAAAAAAAAAACAATAGAATTATCTTTATATCAGCAAATTTCATAATTGTGTCCTAAAATATTTTGATTTCTTAAAGTAGTAAGTTTGGTGCAGCAAAAAGTTAAATTAAGATTATAAGGGGGCGATTTTCCAACTGCACTCTTGACTGAAATAATTCAAACTAAACTTTACTGATTTGGACTTTCCCCCATTTTTTTAAGCACAAGAATTTAAATCTGTAATAAAATATTATGTTTACTCAGAGAAAGTATGTTTAATTGTCAAATTTTGTAGTCTAATATAGACTTCAAATTAATAAGAATATGTTTGGTTAACCCCTTGAATAATTAAGATTCAATTCTATCATTAGAGTTTTTAATGTGTTAAGTTTTTATATTACATACTTTACGTTACCATTTAGTGAACATTTTATTAAAAAAATAGCAGCTGATAATTTTAAAGTAACATTTGTCAGTATTTGCAAGAAAATATATTACTTTTATCCATTAATTAAGGAATAATACTATAATAATATTTATAATAATTTTTTGAAAAAAGATGCCCTTTGCATGTTATTGATTCGTTTATAATAATATTTGTTGCCTTAATTATTTTTAGATGCCTAAGATGAAAATGGCATACGGTGCTGGGCATGAATCATTGACCTGCATTTATGTCTATCAAGGCTGGGTATGTAATAAAGAATCACGTGTAAATTATATGATTAAAAATCTTAACTGTTTATTACAGAATACAATATAAAAATAATTTTAAAATACTTATTTTATTTATATTGAAAATAAAAGAATCGGTTTCTGCTGACAACACATATAAATGAACAATTAATTCAAATAATAATCAATTTTTTGGTATTATTACATTTTAGGCCAGGGATAGAAAAAAAGAAGAATTAAAATCTGTGTATATATATTGTTTTAAAATATAAATAAGATGTTTTTTTGTTTTTTTTTTTTGAATTTACAGTTATAAATTTTTTTAAGAAAAAAAAGTAATAATTACCTGGTCCATGAAATTTTTTAAATGAATAAAATTTTTTAGATTTTATACGAGATAATATTAAGTGCATAATTCTCTGTGGATAAGTCTAGCTGTACTTATCACACATTGTTTTTTAACTTTATAGCATTCGTTTTTGCATAGCTGGACTTCAGTAATAATTTCTTTATCAGTTAATTTGACAATTTATTTTGCACCCAATACTAAGTGTTTAACAAAAAATCGTTCTGCGTATCTTCATCATGTTTAACATCTGTATTATTTCGATGTCATATTTTTTAAATCGCTGTAATCTTTATGCAAAGTGTTCCTGCAAAAAAAAGAAGAGTGAAAAACAGTTTATAAAATAGAGGGCTAAAAAATGCATAATTGTTTGATTATTTCTCTAGGAAGCTAATATTTCTAGGAAAATAAAAGTTATTTTATCCTTTGACCCAATAGTTGGCGAACAGCAGAAAATTTGGCTTTTTTGCTTAGAAAGTATTCAATGCAAACAATCTAGTAATTAAAAAAAAAATTATTCGATAATTTTTCTAGAACTATTTTTCACCTTCCCTCCTAAATCATTTAAAAATTTCATAAACTTTAAATTTTAAGAATACAAATGCATTAAAATTTATTTGCATTTTATTGTGTATCTCTACACAATTTGTGCTTGGAAAAAATATTACATAAAATTTTACTGGTATCCAATTTCTTTTCTCATCATCTACTTAAAAAATTGTGGTTTTCATGGGTAAAATCAATTGTATTTTAACACAAAAAAGACTGTTAATGTGTACAAATGAAAAATAATAATTTCAAAACTTACTTAAATACAGGGAATAATGGAGACTTTAAAATGAGGTATATTTTTATAGAATGCTGATCTAGGCAAAATATTTAAAAAAAAAATTATTATTGACATTTTTTAATAGAGGTTTTGAAAAATTCATTCAATATATATTAAGTGTTTGGTAATTCTTTATCATTTACATTTGATACAGTGCATTTTCTTACTTCTGTGTATTCTGTGTCTCATCTTGTTTTAAGTAAATTCAGATTGTTAAAACCTTAAAAATCAATTGTTTTAAATTTTATATTGTGAAAATTACATTTGATTTTCTTTGGAATAAGCAGCTGCTGTTCACCATAGGGTAGTATTCCTGGTATGAAATATTTAGTAAAGATATTAACAAGGGGCACTTTTTGGTGGCATAGTCGGTTAAGGCATCCATCACACTGCTGGTTGGAGAGTTGGAAGTAGTGAGTTTAATTCGATAAAACAACCAGTGTATCTATGCAGCAAGATGCATGTCAAATTTGTCGTCTCTGAAAGTCTTTTCATTGGTTGTGGTGTAGAAGTTTGGAGAGAGGGGTACCAGCTTAGGCGCTGTTCAAGTTATCTAACCAGGATCAAACTTACATGGCATTCCTAATATAGCTGTTTCAATATAAAGTCCTAAAAATGGGACAGGCTAGGCACTTGGCCCCCGTGGCAGAATCGTGATGACATTGTCGCAGAACATTAGAGAGTTTCTGCAGAAAGATTTTTTATTGGGGGTGCAAGAAATTTTTTTTTTTTTTTATTTACATAATTTTTTTGAAATATTTTTTTTTCCTACGGAACTTTTTTCTCCCTTTCTGCAGAATTATATTTAAAAAAATGCCTTTCTCGCATATGGGAGGTGGGAAAAAATGCTCGTGATTTTTTCGCCCCTACTTCCTTTTGAGAAAAAAAAAATTCCGCAGTGATTGGCTTTAGCTAGAATTTCAGATTGATATTATAAAAAGTAATTTCTAAATGGCAAAAATTTTAAAAAGGTTAACTATACAAATATTTTTTAGAACAGGAGAATATTGCCAACAATATTAGATATTTAGACTTTAAAAAAATTCTTATATTTATAAATAAAAAAATATATGTATACCGTTCTGTTCTATACATGAATTTTTTTTTTTTTTTTTTTTTTTTTGTAAACAGAAAGTGCCTCTGTTACTCTGAATTAGTTGCATATATTTTTGCTACTATTAAAAATGTATCTCAGAAAGGTATTAGTACTAGAGAGAATTGTAGCAGAAAGCTTTAAAAAATTCTGGCCATAGTTAGGTAATATGTGATAACTATGGGTGTAGAGTTTTGAAATTATTTTCCATTGTGCTATTCATATTAATCATGATTCATGATATCATTATCAGTTGATGAAAATGGAATAATGAATGATTTTGATTTACTTGTTATCCTAAGGTGTTGGTATTATACACACTCTAATATTTTCTGTTAGAAGACATCTATGGCTTAATCAGCCAATAGATAATCTTTTTTCCCTTCACACCTTTTTCATGAACCAATGTTAGACATGCTTTTACACTCAAGGGTAGCGGATGTTATTCTATCTGTCCTTTCATTTATATATTTTCGTTATTGTTTTAATAAATATTGTTAAATTTGTTTAACTGAACTATCTTTATTCCACCTCCCTGAAATCTCCTTTAATCTCCTCCCATAAAACCATTTTCCACAATCCTATTATCAATAAAAATTTGAAATTTTCAAAATAAAATATCCTGCCAAATATTAATTGTAAAACTATTTTTAGGTTTTTACTGGAAATAGAAATGGAGTTGTTTCAGTTTTTAAATTTGATCCTTTTAGTGAATATCAATGTCAGGTAAGTTATTTTATTTTTTTTTGTTTATGTTTATTATGGGCATAGAAATTTTGCCTGTTAACTTTCTTTAGCTGTTCTGATCGCATTTGCTAATATTAATTTTAGCTAAATCTGCTACAACATTTGTTTCTAGAAGCTTAAGAGACCTTTCACCTCTTGATTATACTTAACTGTTGTTATTAACTGTAAGTTTATTAAACACGGAAAAAAAAATCAAGAAAATTAAAATTCTAATCTAAAATGTAAGATGGTGAGGTTAGAGGCCTCATATAAAATTATGATGATTTTCTCAGGCCATGGACATTGAGAGGATTCAATTAAACTGTATTGGTTAAAAATAAATACTTAAGATACATTTAAATTATGATAAATACTTACAGAAAGTGGCACATCGGCTTCATATAATTATGAAGATGAGCCATCGGTTGATATGGTGTTGGTTTTATTTATTCTATGAAATTGTTTTTTTCAGGTTTCTTTTAATATGATAATGTTATTAAAAATCAAATACAAAAATCTAATATTTTTACTTATACAGTTTATTATAGTGAACACTCAGTTGTAGTGTACATTTTTTTAAGGTCCCTTTGGAACTGTTATTTCATCCGCTTTCTGTGAATGGCTAAGAAATTAGTAATTCGTTTATAATGAACTCAAATTTCCTTTTAGACGGTTTTTAAATAAATGCTTCAAAATTCAAAAGTATGTAATTATTACTTTTAAAAATGATATTATATACTTTGTAAAAAATGTTAAAATGCGAATAATTTCATGTAAAAGAATAAGGGAAATGGTTCCAGAAAATGCTGGAAGCAAAAAAAGACAAAGCATTTAAAAAATGACGAAAATATAAAAGATAAACGTCTAGGAGCTTCCACTTCCTCCTTTAAAAAATACCATAAATGATTACGCTCTAATTGGAAATTTTTTTTATTGAAAGAAACTTTCTTCAAGGGAACTAATTTGTTGAGATACTCCAGCAATATTGGAAGAAACACTTTTTGAAATTTTTTGAATTTTTCAAGAAATAATTTAAGGACTAGTTTGTAATTTTAGAAGTGTTTAGTTCATGCGATCTTTCATACTTTGCAATAAAGTTTAAAGGTTTGAGAAGCCGACAATGAATTATAAAATAAAACAAGTATTTTAGAACACCCTATGCTAGAAAATCAGGCAATAAGCTTGTAACATGTATCAATTACTTTGGTTGTTATTTTCAATAACTGCATAAAATTTCGTAAATCTATCTTAAATATTTATGGTGATATGATTATATTTATGGAGATACGATTAATTTTTTATAAAAAAAACTAATTTTTCTATCCTATGTTTTTTTGCTATAACTTTAAAAATATACAAAAAATTAAACAAAATATTTGGTGCAATTTAAAATTACAAAATTATTGTTGTAATATTTGAATTAATTTTTTTATTGTTGTTGTTGTTGTTAATTTACGTCGCACTAGAGCTGCACAATGGGCTATTGGCGACGGTCTGGGAAACATCCCGGAGGATGATCCGAAGACATGCCATCACAATTTTGATCCTCTGCGGANTTATTGTTGTAAAATTTAAATTAATTTTTTTTTAAAAAGTGCAAAGGATCTGAATTTATTTTAAGTAGTTCTTTAATATTTCTTTTATAGTCGCATGCATTAAAAAAATTTTGAATTATTTCTTCATAATCCTGTAGTAAATCACATTTGGCGACTAATGGAAAAAATCTGATTTAAATATCATAAAACTTAAAAAGTTTCAATTAGTTTTTGTACTTTTCAAAAAAAAAAAAAAAAAAAAAAAAAAAAAAAAANGATTTTCATACATTTTATTATGTACATAGTATTGCAAATTACAATACCTTATAATAACTGAACAGAAAGAACAAAATTAAATATGTGAAAAACCCTTTATTGAGCTTTTTTTTTTTTTTTAAAAAATTAAGACCAAAAAATCAGTTTTTTATAAAAATGTTCAATTGTCTATAAATATTTAAGCTAGATATATGAAATTTTATGCAATTATTGCATAAAACAACCAAAGTAATCGATACAAGCGTATTGCTCGATTTTTCTGGCATAAGATGTTCAATAATACTTGTTTTTTTTTCAGTAATTTATTGTAGCTCCCTCAAACCCCTGAATGCTATAAGCTTTATTGTAAAGTGTAAAAACTCGCATGAATTAAACACTTCTGAAAAGTACAAAATAGTCCTCTAAGTATTTCTTGAGAAATTCAAAAAAAATATTGTAGGTTATTGTATGTACTTCCATTATTGTAGGTTAGTGTATTTAGTTAGTTAATAATTTATAGCGCAAATTATGTACTATTGCAATCACTATTTTCAACTTTACCACTGCAATATGCTAAAAAATACTTTTCATAAATTTTGAGTATAATAAACCCCATTTATAGTGAAATTATTGCTGGGTTTGCATACAATTCACTATAGCAGGGTTTGACTGTTGTACAATAAAATCACATTTTTAGAAAACTTCTTCTTACTGAATACCTACTATTACGACAACAGTCTTCTATGAATAAGGACACAGACATTAAATTGCATCAAAAGAAGTTCTTTTTAAATCCCTGTCAGGAAGATATTTCACATTTTTATGAATTATTTTATTCTTTTTGTTTAGGCATGAATTTTACTTAAGTATGAATGTTTTTTTTATAGACAATGTGATACATAACAGGGGTCTGTTTAGAAGAAATTTAGGTCCGTTAACGGACCCTTCACAAAATATCTTTTCATGAAAACGGACCCTTCACAAAATATTCTAACTTAAAAACGGACCCTTCACACATTTGTTTATTTTCATTATTATTTTGTTAATTGAATAAACCCTTCCCAGGGCAGAAAACAAGAAAGATGGATGTAAACGAATCAAGTTTTGTCTTCGGCAGACGATTCTTCCATTATTCGTCCGAAATAGCCAAATCGAATAGCGAAATAGGCTAAATACCAAATATTTGTGTGTTGTATCTCTTAATTTAGAAGCAGCAATCGTTGTTTATTTTTTAAAATGTAACTTTTTTAATTATAATTTTACAGTGTTGAGCATAATCTTGTATGTCTTTACAATTTAAAAACTCCTTGAAAAAGTTATTTTTTGCAATAACGGACCCTATTTGCACAAATTCATAAAAGCGGACCCTGGTTGAAAGAATGTGAAAAATTTTTTTCACAATTTCACGAAAAACGGACCTTTCACAAAATGTCTGGACAGACCCCTGCATAAGATATGCATCAGGTATTCCCTCTTGTATTTGATTTATTATGACTCGCATATTTCTATGATTTACATTAAGGGTTTTTTCTGAACAATATGATAGAGAAAGGATATAATCGTTTGATTCTGACTGAAGCAAATATAATTGTTTGAAAAGTCGTGAGACATTTCGTCTTTTCGAAATTGATAAACGTTGAGAAATGTTATATGAATTAAAAATGCATCACAAAGATTTTATAAGAAAAAAACCATTGAAGAAATTCTTCAACTAGATCTTTTTTTTCCTGTTGAGTTCAATTTAAAACACAGTAGGTTAGATATGTAAATATTACTAGAGTGTGTGTTTTTTTTTAATCATTATGATTTTATTATGGAGTAAATGGTTGCTGTTCACTTGAGTTGTTGTCCAGAGAGAAATTTGAGAGAAATATTGGATGGCCAGCTTCAAGTTAGATTTTATGGACTGTATCACAGACTTGATTTATTTAATTTGTTTAGAGTTATTTTATTTACTTTTCTGTTATTTTGTCTACAGTTGTCTTTATACCTGAGCAAACAGTTTTCATGGTTCTGAGAGTGTCTTCTTTTACAGGGTTTAACTGTTTCTGTATATTAAGAAAACAGCATTTATAAAACCTCAAATCATAAAAAATATTTAGAACTCTTAATTTTTAGTAACAATTAGTGTGATGTATTATTCTTCAATTTTAATATTTACTTAGTAAATTTTAAAGTTAAAAAATATATTTTGCTTAACGTACTATACCTTAATTTTGATATTTGCTAAATATGTTTGATATTCTTATCAATATTTGTTTAATTTTCTGCATTGTCTTGCAGGTTAGTAATTGTAAAAATGTTTACATGCATTTGGAAGACTTAGATAGGCATGTAAATATCAACTCTGATCATAAATTAATTTCGAAGAATAGCAAGTGTCCTTGGAGAAAGTGTCAGCAGTCATTTAATAAAGATTGGAATGAAGAAGTACAGTATTTTTTTCTTTTTGTTCAATTTTTTATATTATAATAAATTTAGTTGGATAGATATAATTTAGTCAGCTTTAAATTCATCATGAAACTTAATTTTTCAATAGTTTTTTGTTCCTTCTGCAAAAGGAATCATGATATTTAATGCATCTTTTTCATAAAAATTTAAAAATTCGTTAAATTATCAAGTATATTTATTACAGTTGGTCATTTAAAGTTCAAATTGGAAGAAAAAAAAGGTTTTTTGATAGGTTAATACAATATAATAGATAATTTTCCAAAAATATCCAAATCCATATATTCCATTCATCCAAGTCCCACAGTGAACTGATCCCAGCAGATCACAGAAGTCAAGCATCACTGCCTGCGGTCAGTGTGTGGGTGGGTGACCACTTGGATCAGTCTGTGTAGGGACTGAGGTTGTGCTGTATGGATCCTCGTTAAACTGTTCTATCGTAAAGTTCTGGACTTCGCGTGCAGGTCATCAGGCTACCGAAGCGGGGTGCCATCCCCTCTGCAGAGGATCAAAATTGTGATGGCATGTCTTCGGATCAGCCTCAGGGATGCTTCCCAGACAGTCGCCAATAGCCCATTTTGCAGCTCTAGTGCGACGTAAATGAACCATTTATCCCAAAACAATTGAAATTGTTTTTGGAAAGTAAATCTGATTATATAAGTGATCATGTTATTGTCAAATATTTTATGTTAGCCTTGCTTCTTAAATATAAGATGTTTCAACATAGGCTATCACACAGCGAAATGCTTTTTTTTTTTGTAACTACAAAGTGAAATCTATTGTATATTGTAATGTAAGGTGCACGAGTGTATTGTAAGCAAAGTATTGTAAGTATTGTGTGCAAGTGTATTGTAAGGTGTACAAGTCTATTGTAAGGTGTAGAATACCTAAGGTGTGGCTATACATAATATATATGTATACCCACCTTTGCTAATTTTGAGAAAACTGGTAAGTCCAAAAAAAATTGGGGTGCTTTCAAATAAAAAAAAATATTTTCATTTAATGACATGTTCAAAGGCAAACAGTGCATATGCATCATCATTGCATGTGACCACATAGGCAGTTGTTGCAATTTAATACCTTTTAGTTTTTTTTTTTTTTTTTTTTTTATTTTAANTTTTTTTTTTTTTTTTTTTTGCATTGAGATATTGGTGAGTTTATTCCTGAAATCTAAGACTAGAGAGATTCTATAAATTACTTCTGTTGTGAATAATGAGAATTTCATGCTTTAAATGATAAAATGTATTTTCATGCGGAAATAATGAAAGATATTTTCATTTGCTTTGTTTATTTATGAATCAGAAATCTTAATGCTTAAAGAACTTAAAGAAAAAAAAAATTCTGAAAATTATTTAACTGCAGTGGCTGCCATAGCAACACCATGTGCAATGGCATTGCATATGCCAGCCAGGTGGCCGAGTGGTTAGCGTGCCTGACTGCGAAGCCAATGGCTGCGGGTTCGAATCCCGCTCTGGGCATGGATGTTTCTCTCTCTCTCTGTGTTGTCTTCTGGTGTATGAATGTGGCCCACCCTATGAATGGGTATTTGTGGCGTGGGTAATGTTGCTCGCTTCTGTGGCTTTGGTTCGCAGGTGCCCACTGGGTAACGATAATGAACAACATTTCCGGCATCTTCTAAGGCGAAGAACGAAAGTTCAGTACCTGCCTTTATTATAAAAAAAATGACATTGCATACACACTGTTTGCTCTTGAACATCACATATTGAATTCTATGTTTCAAAAGATAAACAAAAGTGATTAACATAAATAAATGTTTTACGAATTATTATCCAGGTCTGCGAATGTTTAATTTTTTGTCTTAAAATTAGGATATTGTATGTTTTTCCTTACCACATGGCGTTTAGAAACTAGCCGCATTTAAGGACTAGCCTGTCTACCCTCATGATCTCACTGCTTTTTAGTACTCTTAAATTAATAATTCTATTACACATTGATCTTTACAATGTATTTGAATAAATTCAAATAATTTTATTTCTTGAAAGATTTTGCATTGGAGTGTTTTCCAAAATTAAGTAGTCGAAATATTTCCTGAACTATTTTCTCTTTTCTATCAGGATTATTCTTTTAATTTTGTTAACAGTATAGTAAAAAATTCTAGTAAATTAAAATAGTGTTCTGCACTGATGCATATTTATTGATTTTTTTAAAATTTATTGTATGGTGTGAACTAAATTTTTACTACTAAATGTACTATACAGTACAGAACCCGTTATCCGGAAACCAGAAAACCAAAAAACCGGAATGAAATTCGATAAATTTTCCCGCTATTTAAAAAAAAAAAAATTTTTTTCCTCATAAGATTTTAGGATTTTTTGTTCTTTTTTGAAAGATGTTTACCTTACCATCATTTTGGTAATAATCATTAGTGTATTACTTCATCGTTTTTTCTTCTTTTTAAGATTATTTCCAATTTTTCTTTTTTTTAGTTGGTTTTAACAATAAAAAAAACGGCTTTTTTTAGCGATTCAGAAAACCGGAAAAATCAGTTATCCGGAATATCGATGGTCCCGATCGTTCCGGATAATCGGTTCCCTACTGTATTATGTTTGACTGAGTTAATAAATAAAAATATAGATGATATAAATTATCTTAGTAGTACATGATATTAATGCTTTCCTAGAATTCTCTGTAAGTTTTTATTGAAATTAAAAAAGTTTTATTGCGTTTAAATAATTTAATAACGTTTTTTATTTAAAAATAATTTTGGAGCAAAAGTTGGGTTATTGAAAAACACTGAACATTGTGTGTTGAAGTTTGAAAGATAATTCCCATTCACCTTGTATTTCATCTTTTTAGGGCAATTTTTTTATAATGTAGTATTTTTTGAAACATTTAATGGTCGACGTTTTTAAGGTTTTAAAAGCATTTGATTTAGAATTAATTGCTGTATTTTTTTTAAAAATTATTACCTTAATATATTTTTTTGTTCCCTAAATTTATATATTCGCCAATACTAGTTAAGAAATTTTTTTTATTAAAAATAATTGTTTTATTTATTTTTTTCTAGGCTAGGAAGCATCATCTTAAATCTCATGTCAAAAAGCTTCCAATACCTATTTCCATTTTGTAAATTTTATATTACATGTATAGGGTCAAATGTATATTTTTATACATACAATGTATGCATGATATTAAAATTCATGTAATGCATGATGTAAAGTTTGTATTAAAGATATGAATAAACTGTTTATATTTTTCACAGTATAATTGTTTGTGTATTTTTCTATTAATTTTTATTGCACTGATATTTTCTGTAATTTTAGATGAAACAAAGCAAGATATTTATTTTATGATATTTTATTTATTCATTGTACATCTGTATGCAAGTTTATTTCTATAGCAACACTTTTATTATTATCAAATTTGTTTTAGCCCCATGGTTTTTAATACCTTTTTTATTTTAGTTTTGCTGTAAATTCTCTAATTTTTACAACCTTTTTGGGACAGACAAGTCATATATTTATTCTGTCTCTCCAATCTGGGTGGACCACCTATGTGTTGTGGAAGAATTAGCTTAGTGAATATGCAGTGCGTATGAGTATTTTTAGCTGAAATAATTTTTAATGACCACTAGAGGGCACCTTATGTCCATTACATTTGAATTAATTGTAGTTTTATTATCCTGATCTTCAGTTTATATTGTCTGTATGTAGTATTTTACACTTACACATCAGCTACTGCAGGGAGGAAATTGGAGTATAAACAAACAGATCTGAACTTTTTAATTTTCCACATCATGTAATCATTAGCTTTTCTGATAGTTTTTGTAGGGTTTGAGCGTTATTTCTGTTGCAGTTTGTGTAGCTTTCAGATATATTTCATTAATTTCCCTTTTTATTTCAGAAGATTTTGTCTCCAGATTATTATGGTAAGAAAGCATTTTTTAACCGAGGATTAATTTAAACATTAGAATTGAGGATTAAAAACATTAGAACTGAAACTTTATTCTTTGTGATTTTTTTAAATCTAAAGTTAGGCTTAATGACTCAAAACTTTCATCTTGTAGTATAATTGCATTCACTCTCACTTCCTCCCTAAGAAGCATACTAAAAAAAGGTTAAACACAGCTTAATTGAGTTACTTTATGTTGAGTTTTAATGTTGCCCACATTCAGATCAGTATAACCAATTTGGTTTTTCATGTCTACTGACTCTAAGTTATTCCAAGTACTGTATAGATCAAAGTTTGAAATCTCATTGTCGTCCAGCTGACCATGAAGTTTTTCTGATGAATCTCCGAAGTTTTTTGAATTTCATCTTTGTGTAATACAAAAGAGTTTCATTCTCACCAAGCCAAAAGCAACTGAGTCAATAATTAGCAAAACTGAGATTAGGTTGTTTGAACGCCTGCTACCTTTTTGAGACAATAAACCCAAGTCAATATACATAGTTTTAAAGCAATATGCTCTCTCTCTCTTCTCTTCTCTTCTCTCTCTGTGCCATTGCCTTTTTCACTTTTGGATATATATATATATAATATATATATGTGAAATAAAAATATAAAAATATTTTATTATTAACAAAAACAGTTATTTGAAACAGGAAGTTAATTTAAAAAAAATTCTCTTTACCATATGCAGCTTAACCCCTTCAGAACCAGCAGAATGAGAAAGCGCTTATTGAGGCCCACATACCCCAGGAGTTTGTATACTAAAGAGCACATATATGTACTAATGTTAGAGTACCATCTTCAGATCATCTCCATATGCGCTTTTATCCAGGTCAGAGTATGTGTACTAAAGAGTCTGTTTTGAGATCACGTTCGTGTGATCTTGAGCAGCTAGAATCAGAAAGGCTTGTTTCATATATAATACCGTGGGCTATTAAGGGAAAATAGTGTGATCATGTATATGAGATCTTGGCTCTGAAGGGGTTCAATTCTATTTATACAACTTTCAGAAAATTAAATGCTGCTTAAAACAGTGTTTTAAAGCAATTTCTTTTTCAGTTTTCAACCATTTTAGGTTTAAGTTAAGAAAAACTCCTAATACAATAAATAAACTTGAGATTAATAGTGTAAAATTGAATTAATTTCCATGCCATACCAGTGCAAGAATGAAAAATTTTAAAATGATATTTATTATAAATTTTTGAGCGGAAAAGCATTGAGAGGTTTCTAAATTGTTTATCAATGAAGGTTGAGGAAAACTAGTTTTTTTTAGTAGAAATTTTATCTCATTATCCTTAAAAAATGCTCTCTCCAAAAAAATAAATAAAAATTGGAAGAAAATTGTGGAATTTGGAATATTTCCATGTCAGTACCTACCTCTAAATAGTCGCCAAGATCTAACATCAATCGGGCTGTGGGATGCAAAATACAAAATTTAGAAAAGTATAACTGTTAGCTATCAAACCTCAAACTTTTTCTGTTCTTTTTCCTAGTATAAAACTTTGGCGTCTTGGTGATTGTAGTTGGTCTTGAATAAGTATAGATATGGAAATTACCCTCTCTTTAGCTAAAAGGGAGAGTATAAGTATAAATTGTAGTCATCCTCAGTCAAACCACTATTCTATTATATATACTATTGAGCGAAAACATAATGTTTACCTCCACACTTTTCATTGAACTTGTCTGAATGATATGCAGGACTCGTGATTACATTAGAATGGTATTTACTTTTTTGTGGGTGAAGTGATGGAAAAAGCTACTGATTTAAGTGAATTTGATAGAGGGCAGATTGTAATAGTCCGGAGACTCTGAATGAGTAGCTTTGAAACTGCACAATTGATAAGCATTTAGGCAAAGTGGATAAGTGATGGTTCAACCGGCAGTAGGCGCCATCGTGTTGGATCCTCCCATCATCAAAGAAAAGGTACACAGGAGTCTATCACTTTTGGTAAAATAAAATAGACTTAAGTTCAGTGGACATTGTTAGATGTGGGATTGCGAATCAGTTGTTCCACTCGTGTGCCTGTATTGACCTAGCATCATCATCAATTACACTTGCATTGGTTCCGGGAACGTCGACACTGAACCACGGATAAGTGGAAGACTGTTTGTTGTCCTGTCACATGAATCGCGATTTCTCATGCATCACTGCGATGATCGTGTCAGGGTACACCGTCTTCCAGCCGAACAGTTGCACCCCACATGTACAGTAGGTCTCACACATGGTGGATCTACTTTGGGTGGTGGGGGTGGTATAAAGCCTTCGAGGTTATTCTCATGCGCGTCTCTGTGGTCCATAGTTGTGGTAGATAGTCCCTAAAAGCTGTGGACTATCTGAACGTAATTGCGGATTGCTTGTATCCATACATGACATCTGTTTTCTCAAATGGAAATGGAATCTTCCTGCATGACAACGTCTCAATTTACAAGGCTAGAATTGGGTTGAAGATGATAATGATGAATTTAAACTAATGTCCTGGCCACCTAACTTGCCGTAATTTAATCCGATAGAATACATTTGGGATGTTATGCAAATGTAGTTAAGAGATCAAGCACCACCAGTGGTGTCATGCAAAGTCGAGATATTCCGATATTTTGACTTTGCATGACACAGCTGCTAGACATTTGGTCCAATTTGTCTCCAGTTGTCTACTAAGATCTTGTAGTATCCATGTCAAGGCGATTTGTAGCTGCTTTGAAGGTCGAAGGTGGAGCAACGCATAATTGAGCAAGTGGTCATTGTACTTTGGCTCTTCAGTGTCTATGTTTTTTTAATTTTTGATAGTATAAAACTCATTGGCGATATGGAAATATCTCTGTGGAGTAGAATAACAAATTGTAGCCATTATTTTCAACCTATTATCGAACACTTGTAGTTAAATATGAGATTTTTTTTTCTCTCAACATCACAGAGTGAAATCTAAAATAATTAAAAGAAGAGTTAAAATGTGTCTCTCTTTTAACTCCAATACTGTTTGTTCCAGCATTCTGAAATGTAGATATTGGTTGCAAGTGGACTATTTTAGCTCCCAATCCTAATTCATTCGAAATTTCAAATAGTTCGTACTGGATAGATGTATGAAACATAATTTTCTGTTACAAGTTTAGCTCTAGGTATAATTACTAATTGAGTTGCAGGCGCTTTTCGTTTTCAATCGTCAAATGATGAGTTTAGTGAGGCTAATATTATCCTTAACTACTTGCTTTCAGCTGTGTTTAATCGAAAACGGAGTTATTCGCATGTTATTTAATCGTATTTTATTTTGTTTATGCGATTGAAACGTGTTTAAATATAACTAAATAATTTAAAATCAATTGATAGTGAAATATTAATACAAAATTAATGGAGAAAATGGCTTGGTCTTGGTTAATTTTGACTACCATGAGTTGGCTGCTAGTAATAGCATTATACCGAATGATATTGATAGTTAATCTTTATTTTGATGAGTTGGACTTCTAAAAACGTTGCTTAAACCTCCAAGCGTTAAACCGTTCGGTAAAATTGTATTGAGAGTTTCCTGCTACGCACTATTTTTCTCGTTCAATAACATAGAGAAACCAGTTCTTTCACTAAAAAAATCCCTCTTCTGAAAGTTCGGAAAAAACCGAGACTCAAAGGGTTAATCTAATAATGTTAAGTCACTAGGAAGGACAACAAATAATAATAAATAAAAAAAATGTATATGTTTTTACTATATTAATTATGTTGGTATGCAACTTTCAGTCTTGTTAATGTTTTCCTTGAAGTGGTAGTTGGTTATTTGGCTAAATTTTCTTTTAACAGAGCAAAGTATTATTTTGTCAGTGTAAAAATATAGTATTTTTTGGGAAGTATTTTTGGAAATCTTAAATTTAAGAATTTAAGCGCATGGTGTATAACGTGGTAATAATATATACATGGTTAGTGGTAATTACAGAATACAGTTGAACTCGTTTATAACTGTCAGTCGTAACCTTTTACAAAAGAAATAGCGCAAAATTCTACAAAAACTAATTCACCATTTTATTATTCTTTTCCATCCATTCTTTTAAAACCAAAACAAAAAAAAAATGATCATATCTATAATATCAAGCTTTTAGCTCGCAACATCAGAAAATGCGTGTTATTACATCACGTGACCCTGACAATAACGAGCTCGGATTTAACGAGAACTCGGATTTACCGAGGGAAACGAGAATATTTGGTTGGATGATTATTAAGTCTATGGAACAGAAGTCGCTTTTAGCGAGCAAGACCCGGTTTTAGCGAGCAATATTTTTCTGTCTTGCAATCTTTTTTTCAAAATGATATGAAATGCGCGCGAAATAAAAAAAAACCG